TGGATGACACTGAACTTGTGTTGATGATTTCATAGACTACTTTAGATTAGGGTCACATAAAATGCCACAGAGGGCAACAATGACCTCGCCGGCCTTAGTTTGGACAGGCCTGCACTAATACAACAGTGTATTTAGATTTGGGAATACATGTTTTATGGCAGTTCCACTATAAAAACAGTATTTGTTCATTGTTCAGAAGAAACAAAGCAGCTATCGAAGAATATCAAGCAGCAATCCTGAAAAATAAGAACCAAATAGAATCATTCACAGATGTTATGAGGACGAAAACGTCTCTTATCGTAGCTTATCTAATCTGTTTAAAGTGCCTAAAATATATGATATACATGTATATAAGAAAATGCCTGTCTCGCCATTTAATTAAAAAGTTATTAATACAATTTGTGGCGCTGGCATTTCTCATAATAATGGCTGCTTGTGTTTGTTATCTGCTCTAAGGAGACTTGAAAACAGCTGAGTGGTAATAGCCTCTGAAGATCTCTCTCCTCCGCCTCCTGCAGCTCCAGCTCCTCAGCGCCCGTTCCTGATTAGCCACACATTCGAGAAATGTCAGAAATGTTTGATGCGTCTGAAGTGAGATCAGCAGCAGCAGCAGACACTAAAGACCACAGCCCCAGGAGTGAAGGGTCCGAAGGGGGCGGAGGGGCCACTGAAGGAAGGGCCGTCTATAACAACGATTACATGTCCTTGTGACTTAAAGCAGTGATATTTCAATGTTTTCAATATTATTGTGTTTTTGACATCTAGGCAAAGCAAGGCAAGGCAAGTTTATTTGTATAGCACAATTCATACACAAGGCAACTCAAAGTGCTGAACAAAACAAGAAAGCATTACAATCATAAATAATCACAGAACATTAAAAAGAAAGATAAAAAAATAAACTCCCTCAGTTGTATGCACAGCTAAACAGAACTGTCTTTAACCTGGTTTTAAACATTGTCAGAGAAGAGGCCTGTCTCACATCTTCAGGAAAACAGATTTTTAGCAGCATGAATCTGAAAAGCAGCCTCCCCATGTTTAGTTCTGACTCTGGGCACTAACAGGAGTCCAGTCCCTGTGCTCCTCAGAGTCCGGGCTGGTTCATATGGGACTAACATGTCACTAATATATTTTGGTGCGAGGCCATGGAGAGACTTGTAAACAAGCAAAGCTGTTTTAAAGTCTATTCTCTGAGCCACAGGAAGCCAGTGCAGAGACCTGAGAACTGGACTAATGTGGTCGTACTTCCTGGTTCTAGTCAGGACTCGAGCTGCTGCATTTTTAATGTACTGCAGCTGTTTTACAGCCTGTTTGGACAGACCTGTGAGCAGGCCATTGCAGTAGTCTAACCTACTGGAGACAAATGCATGGATAAGAATCTCCAAGTCTGCTTTAGACACTATGTTTTTGTTCCTGGCAATGTTTTTTAGATGGTGAAAACATTGCCAGGATCAAAAGCTGTATTTGACACAAACCTGACTATGTTTGTGTCAAATACTAACAATACAACTCAAATCTTTACGGAAGCTAAAAAGATAGAAGCCCCCTCAGCATATGCGCCAACACAAAACCATATCTTAAATTATTAGGATTTTTACTTCTGTACTGATTGTTGGTTTTTATTTGCTTCCTTTGCTGTCCTGGACCTGTGTGTGTGTGTCTGTGTCTGTATTCATTTGTGTCTTGAAATGTTCATAAAAAGTTGTTTAAAAATAACATCTTTTTGTGTTTTACCTTGAAATCATCTTGCCCTCATTCACTAGGTCTCAATCTCATGTACAGTATATATGTGTTTATTTATGACGATTGTGTGAATGGAGGCGGTGTAGTGCTTTGTGACCGTTCAGATTGATTGATTGGATTTTCTTCATTGATTTGAGCAGAAACAATTGCTTTTATGCTTGAGTATTTAAAACATTCACATTCCTCAGATTATGGAGATACTTTTGTACGTTGTTATGTTGCTTACTGCGCTTACTGTATAAATACACATGCAAATATGTAAACATAACTATACAATCAAGCAACAGTATTTCCCATACTCACATCGTGTTGGTATATTCACAATTTCAATAGGTTTTTTACAAATTTGTCAGCTCAGCATGGAGTGGAAAAGAAATAAAAACTCACTTCATGAAAATAATTTAAATACATTCATGAATTTAGTTATTTAATCATTGAATAATCATAACTGTATAATAATATTTCATGTTTGAACCCCAATTTATCAACTGGATTTATATATTGATACTGGCAACACAAATGAGAGACTAATGTGAGGCCTGATTGAACTCCAGACATGTGTGAAAAGTGACTTGTTATTGTATATTGTGTGTATTTCACTGTCATCAGATCTGTTGTCTCCTCTCTTCTCTAAATCCCGCTTTATTCCGAGAACACATGATCTTTTTAACAGAGTTGTCAAAATACCACAGCATTTGACATTATAGAAATACGCCTCAGATTTGCACCGGATGATCTGTCAGAAATAATTGTGACGCAAAAACTGCTTCGAAGATGTCCAGCCACAGCGAGGCCACGGCACATTTGTGAAAGCACTTAGCTCTGTAAATATTTGTATTTTTGGCGAACCGTGCAGTGGGCACAGACCGACAAGGACAGAAAGAGGGAGTGGTTCTGGAAAGGCAGGATTTGGACTTTTTGAGTGACGCTTGGATGTCTGCAGGAAGGCAGCGGAGGCCCCTAGTATCTGATATCTATCGTATGTTGTAAGATTTCAGACTTTTTAATGACTGACATTTGGGTGAATAGTTCCTGGTTGAGAAAAGGTAATTGTCAAAAAGGAATTCTTGTCGTAAAACTGGGGTGCCCTACTTCATTCCAACAGAAAGAGTCGGATGTGTTTGCAGCTGGTAATTGTCGAATTTAAAAAACCAAAACAATTTCAACTCTCTCTAGTGGTCGATTTCAACTCCCTCTAGTGGGAGTAACAAGCTGATACAAGTGATTATGTTGTGTAATCACATATTTTCTAAGATATAATTTCACATTCCAATTGTAGACTCATTCTGAAACTAATGGACAAAAAATACTGCGTAACATTTCTACTTCTACGTAAAAGTATTACTACTACCACTACTACTACTACTACTATCTCCTCTCCTCCTACTGCCAATGCTTCCCTTATAATCCTAGTGAAGACTTTATTTGTAGGTGATTTACTAACTCCTATCTGTGTCATTTTAATCTCAGAGAAAAACCCAAATCCAGTGGGGTCGTAAACTGTGTAAAAAGTACATTACAAAAATTCTGCGAAAATCTCCTTCACTGATTAATAGTGTTGCTGTGCCCACTGTTCTGCTGAGTGAGACAGAAGTGTGGAGCTGCGTGCAAATCAAACACAGGCCCAGACTGTGAGTTTTACATCTGAAAAAACCGTGTTTGATGAAAAATGTAGTGGAGAAATAAACAGGGTAGACCTCATGTTTCGTTTGGCTGTTTGTTCCATTAAAACAGGCCAGTCATTACAAAAGGCTCCGCACACAATCTGGGCTTTTCCCGCTCTCCGAATGCATCGTTTGATAAAGTTAAGATCAGTTTGACGATATTGGGAAATTGAATTGAAATTAAATCTGTTTTTCTTATCTTCGTATGGCACTGACTCTAGCTTCATTTGACTAAATATCTGTATCTGTGAATTAAAGCTAACCCCAGGCCCTTTTTATTCATCTATTTTTTTTTATATTGATTATTATTATTATTATTGTTATTATTATATTCTATCTACTTTTCTTGTTTGGCACAATGGGAGAAAAAACAAAAAGTGTGTCTTACATGGTTCTTTCTTTGAAATTAGCTTGAATCGTGTCAAGATGTACCGTGCAAAGACACAATAAAGTATGAATAAAAAAATTAGAGGTAAATTATACTGTATATCAGAGCTTAGGAGTTAGGGTTAGTAAAGTCAAGTAAAGTGCATGTGTCAACACTTTTAACACAGTTTGATGTTGTATAAACCCTAGATCAAGGCTCCACTCACTGCAGTAGAATTCATAGACACATTTGACTCTATTCTTTTAGTATTAATATTAGTATTTGCGAGGATCGTCTAACACCCAGTTTATCAGATGGAAGATTCACACTCAGCCAATCAGCTCGGAACCGCTTCCGAAACCCAAAACTGGAACTCAGATGCCCTTTTGTTGTTGTCTGTGGCTGGTGAAAGCGATGCAAACTCAGCAGCAAAATGTATTAAAACAAGTCCTTTGGTAAAGATTACTAAATGAACCCAGGGCTAAGTGCGAAGAAAAGGGTGGAGCGTCATTTTCAATATAATTTTTTTTTTTACCTTATCCTTGCGTAATCCTCCACAAATACTTCTGCATTCTGAATGAGGGAATAACAATAAAAGAACATTTGTTTTTCTGCCAAACTGCTGAATCAGAAATTAACCATGATAACACTCAAGTCCCAGTAAAAAAACACAATTAGCCATCGCAAAGTATGTGTGTATAATATTTTTTTTTCATGTTTTCGGTAGATTGTGTAATATAAGATTGTGTTTAAATTTAACAGTTTAAACTCCTTGGAGGGTAGACCGATGAGAATCTTTGGAGGTCCATCGTCTACGTTCCTGTGGGTGGAGACATAACTTACATTTGCCAACAGCGTTCTCCATTCTCCAAATATTTGCTGAAATGTACACACTGTAAAAAGTCTGGTTCCTTCTGAATTCTTTGATGAATATTTTGTCATCACAAATCAAAGCAGTGCAAAGGATTCGTGCCAGTGAAAAATTACAATATTCCCCAAAGAAGAAAAAGCCTGAGTGCTTCTACGTACATTAGCTGAGAGCACCACTTCAGAAAATCCCTGTTCATTCTTAGCTTTGTATTTAGATTGCTTTCTGACAGCCCTGAGGTCTAACCCAAGGAATATTAAAACAAAACCCCTATATCCAGCACTGAGAAAGAGGAAGTCCATAACCGTTTTTATAATATCATTTTCAAACATTTTCCATTTTGGGGTTGAACGGTGGAGCCATGTCTCTGAGGTTTTTACAGCTTCATAAACAAAAGACGGAGAAAGAGAAGGCTCGAGCCACACATGTAGAGGACGGCAAGAATCGAAAACTTCTGGACCGAAAAGCAGGGTAAATATGAAGCCAGATTCACCAAAGCCACAGGATACGGAGAGGAGAAAAGATCTGAGCTGCAGGCCAACCGCCAACCGCTGCAATTATATTTGATACTTTATAACCGAGAAATGGTCTGGGGGAGTACAGGGGCGTGTAAACTTAAACATACATACCCTATAGCTTTGTACTTTGGTGCGAGATTTAGAGAGGTTTTTGTTGGACGCCACACTGCATTTTCTTCTATATAATGAAAAACATGAATTGGTAGAGCTGGGGTATTTCAATTTTGAGCACAAATGTACTATTACTGCTACTGTATGTACTTTAACATTGAAATCGTTCATTCGTTTCCAGTTTGTCACTATCAATACTTTTTGCTTGGATGTATTTCTTTAGATCTGCGTTTTCAGACGGAGAAGTCGAGCATCTTCCAGCTCATCCTCATTCGGCCAATCAGCTCTCAGCCTAAAGTGTCAAATAGTGACTCAAAGGGAATTTTCTAACAATTATTCAACGGGCAGAAAGTAATTTTTTTTCACACCATTCTACTTTTGCGAGGCTTGTTCTGTTGGGTCAAACAAGATTTACTATAAAAGCACCCCAGCTTTACCGAGGACATAGGATGCTTCTGTCTGTGGGTGATAATACACCACATGACGGGTTCATAAGTGAAGTAAGTGAAATGAGTATGCACATTTCTAATCCCAATGTGTCTAACTCTTTTGCTTCTTGGAAAAGTTTCATTAAAAGGTTCTGATCTGACACTGCATTACTACTTTGATGAAGCAACAACAAATGGCTGAGGAGGTTTCAGAGGTGTCTTCCCCTGACCACAGAAGAAGTTAGCAATCAAAGTTTTTATTCTCTCATTTTACCATAAAGGTACAAAATGAATCACATTAAAAACACAAAAAGGCTAGGGACAACAACTGTGACATGGTTTTTGCAGTTCAACTTTTCAAACTACAAAATAATGCTCTATACATCCTTCACTAGTTTCCACGTTCATGTATTTTTGGCCTCGGTCACATCTTTCAATCAGCTTCTGTAGAAAGAAAAGTGAAAAACCCAGGACCACCCTCAACCCTAACTCAGCTAAAGCATCAAATAGTGACTCACAGGGCTCTCTCTTACAATATAAGAAAGATAACACGTGATGATGAAGATGAAGACGGCTTTTGTGGTCTAAGCGGTTTCAAACACAACAGTCTGTTTCACGAATCCTTTAAACCGCTTCACCACCTCTGCTGCTGTGGCACTTTATTGTTAGTAACTATCAGAATGATGTATTGATGTGTGTTTCTGTTTCTGGACACCTGAATTTCTCCTACAGGGAGATCAATAAATATCTATCTATCAAAGGAGAGAGAGAGCGCACCGCACAAAGTGATTAAAAAAATAAGTAAATTGGCAAATTTAATTTGAGCACATTTTCTCTGGCTAAAAACAAGATTTGCCAATGGGAAAAGTAAAATAATCTTTTTTTAAAAAGATACAAGAAATGTCTCCCTTGAAATGAAAAAATAAAACAACAGCTCTTGAAAAAAGACTAAATAGCTTGTCTTATATTAAAAAAAACCACGTGATTCACGCAATTATTACCTCACATTTTATCATTTTTTGCAGTGAGAGAGAGAGAGAGAGAGAGAGAGAGAGAGAGAGAGAGCATAACAAACAAACACGTCATAGAGACACAAGTACAGTACGGCTGTCTTTTAAAGTCAAAACTGTTTGTTTAAATAATTATTGCCTTGTGTGTGTCTATTTTTAAATTGAACTTAGTCTGTAATAACAATTAATTTAAATGTTTACGTCAACCCACTCCGCAGCAAGCTTTTCAACCCGTCTGAAATAAATCAAAGCCTTTTCTCAGGCAATAGAGAAGAAGACAAAAAATACACAATTGGCCCATAAGTGTAATTTAAGCAGCAAACTTGGCGTGCACAGACAATGTGAACAAAACCCATTTTAAAGGTGCTGGACAACTGTCTCAGGGCCTCTCCAAAATTGCAGCTCATTCATTCACCGTCAGCAAAGGCACCTGTTGCATTTAAACTGTTTTTATTCTTCTTTTGTGTGGACGTGTCAATATTTGCTGTATAACTGTACAATGAACTGCTGCAACTCTGTCATTTTCTAAAAGAGACCCATAAAGACAGACAATGCGTGGCCACAATAGTCAGAGCTTAAGTTTTCGGTGTAGTTTTAAGTGGCCCTTTTACTAACCAGGTGCTCATAATGTTATGCCCTGCTGGAAACTTTAGCTCGGGATGTCACTGAAAGCTGGCCATCCCGGTTGTTATTGGCCGACGGGGCAGATGGAGAGAGGTCCGCAGACAAAGGCAAAGACAGTGGAGCGTATCCTGCTTTATCCCAAACCAGTACCCCAGAACAGCCTCATCTTCCCTGGACATTACCATCACAAACTGCTGTCGCTCACAAGACATATTCATTATCCTTTCCCCCGCGAGCTCTTCTCATGTGGGCCACTTTAGCTACATTTCCTCAACCAATGTTAACCTGTGATTATCTCATCTTCTGACAGAAATCCACTCAGTCCACTCCACCCACTGGTTTTCCTCTCAATCCATTCAAACATGTCCGGGTTATCGATTCAAAAGGCACGTGGCAGGGGATATATTTTGCGATAGATTGCTGGTAGCTTCTCCTATCTCTGCGCATCGACCTAAGCCTGAATACCTGGGAGAGCAAGAATGTGCAGCTTCAAAATAAATGTAAATAAAATGCATAAATAATAATAGGAAGAATGCTCTGGTCACACTTCATGCATGGGCTCTCAAGCAGTTGTCCAAAGGGAGCATATGAAGCATAACCACGCCTTAAGGTTTACACATGAACGAGCTCGTAGATTTCAGATTTTCTCTCAAATCTACAAAACAATGCACAAATAGGTCTCAAACCGAATCAAGTTTTAGCATCTGGGGAAAATGTCTTATCAGTTTCTATCTAAAATGATCAGTGTATATAGATATGTCTGTATGACTGTCTTTAAAAATCAAAACTGTATGTTGGACCCATTATGACTTATGAAAGGATTTTATGGCAGAAATGTTGTTCAGTTGTTACATGTTTATGAGTAAATGATACATAATAATATAATTCCACAACTCGGTACATCTCCGACCGTCAACATGAAGTAAAAATGAGCATTCCTGCACTAATATGAGCTCATGTTAATCCTAATAGCCAGTTCCTTATTGGTAAGATACAAGTCCACATTTTTTAACCTAAGTTGTATGTTATGCCTTCTCAACTTTACAAAGAAACTCAATTCACACTCATTTGTAAAAAAAGAAAAAAGAATCTGTATCTAAAGTTCTACCAGTATGTACTAGGGAATTGTTCATATACAGAATGCAAAACACAGTTATTTACACAGTAAGTAATGTTTATTTATATACCGCCTTTCACAGACCAGTCACAAAGTGGTTTACAATTGTTATTTTTTGGGCATTTGTCTCTCACTCCACACAGAGATGGGAGTGAGGTTACCAGTACAGAAGGCACATGCCAGACCTATTGTGCATATTTTTAGTGGTAGGGGAAACCGGAGTACCCGGAGGAAACCTACGCAGACACGGGGAGAACACGCAAACTCCACTCAGAAAGGCCCTGTTCCGACCAGGATTTGAACCCAGGACCTTCTTGCTGAGAGGCGAGAGTGCTATCCACTCAGCCACCGTGGATACTTATTTATCTGCAAAAAGCTATGCCTAGATTTGGAATTGATTTGTACAACAGTGTATATGTCTCAACAAAAAGAGTCTTGTAAAAGTCAAACCAGACCAGGCTTTCATCTTAGTAGAAAACATATTTCCCATCCAAGTACTAACCAGGCCTGACCTTGCCTAGCTTTCGAGATCAGACGAGATCGGGCAGTCTCAAGGTGGTATGGCCGTAAGCACAGCAAGTAGAAAATATATTCAATAGAAAGAGCCCTGTGAGTCACCATTCATCTCTTTGGGCTGAGAGCTGATTGGCTGAGTAAGGGTGGTCCTCTCTTTCTCACTGTTCAGTCTGAAAAAGCTGATCTGAAGATGTGCCCGACGCCAAACACATGCATGTGAAAACTATAGTGATAGAACCAAACAGTTTTGAGAGCGAGGAACTAGATAATAATAGATTTTATTTCATCGTTTCATTGTTTTGTGGTTTGGAAGTGAAGAAACCCAGCTTTAAGTGTCATCCTGATTTTGTTTTCTCTCAGACATAAACAACCTCGATCTCAGACGACTCACAAAAGAACTTCTCCTTTCTACACCAATGGCACAGTAACCGTAGACTTGTTTTACAGAGAAGCAGTGTCTCCGGTGTCACCAGTTTAACAACGCACTCGATATTTGGGATAAAACCCGGATCATAAGGGCCACAGTCGGGGTCGCGGTGCTGAGTGACAGACCAGGCCAGTCCTGCAGGAGCCATGCACGGAGGAGAAGGATGTAATGAAAGTCGGATGACCCTTCAGCAAATTCATGAAACCCAAACCGTATTTAGTCAGCAGAAAGTTTTGGTGGGACGAGGGAGGAACCTGCTCTGAATCTCAAGTTTTCACCCTGAAGACATCCACAACTCAACACAGCGGCGGAGTTACATTTGTCCTGTTTTGTCAGGGACCGTGAGGCGTGAGGACGTTCTGCGGGAAAGAAGATGCAGCGATTGCAACACGGACAAAGACAATCCATTAACTCACTCATTGGTTAAAAAAGGCAATCAGATTAACCAATAAGAATTTCAGGGATTATGCAAATGGAGGGATGTCCCAAAGAAAATGACAAAATGCCATTATTCTGATATTAATGGCCCTGCTCCTGAGTTGTGACTTCAGACGATACAACTCAGGAGGAGGCCAATAAGTGTACTCATGTGTATTGTACTTCATATAGTTACTGTTGTGTAATGTGTCTTTGTAACGGTATGTGCATTGCCAAGAAGTCAGCCACAATATTTTCCTGTATTGATATTTTAATGTAACCCACCCTGCCTTCTGATTGGACACATGCAATTCCAAATCAAGCAATGAAAAGCACATTTCCGCCTAATTTGTCTTCTAACTAATCTCACTGCAGGTGGTTATGCTAAGGGGAGGGACTACTTTTCAAATAGTTTATGTACATGATTCTAGTACAGGCCCATGTGGTCAGAATTATGCATTCTTTAAAACATGAATGACATCAGTGACATCCCCTTTAAAGCTGCATTCCTCATCTGTCCCTGTGGTGGGTCCACTTATATCTTGGGTTCATCCTGGATCTTTTTTTGTGTGCAGTTTGACATTTAAGTTGGTCTGTTTACATTGAAAAAAAGCCTGACTTAACGCAGATAATTACAAGGACTATCTTCTCACTGTAAAATGCTTTGAACCAAACTGACTGACATATCAAGCAAAGCGAAAACATATCGATAGCAAGAAGCAGGTTGTGGAGGATTTCACAAAGAGTGTGTTACCATCTGTTAGTGCATATCTGAGTTTCATTGTGATTGTTGCATGTTAAATGTTTGAGAATTCTCCTTCTCTGTCCTGTAGCCGAGGCTATACGGAGCAGAAGAGACGTATGCTCCTCGCTGGACATGTGTGGAATAGTGTGGGATATTTATATACATGTCACTGTCTCTGTCTCATGTCCTGAGGCGTGTGTACATGTCAGCGTGTATGTATGTGTGTGTGTGTGTGTGTGTGTGTGTGTGTGTGTGTGTGTGCGTGTGGTGACAGGGCTTCGGAGAGCGGCCCACCACACTCAGGGCCTTCGCTGCAGATTTAGAACGCTGCATTCCTACTTTTCAAAGACGAGCGACACGAGGGGACGAGGTGGAGCTGCTGGCACCGTGCCCACCCTCCGCCCTCCGCCCTCCGCCCTCCGCCCTCCAGACACCACACGGCTCCAAGAGATGCTTCACACTGGATTTAAATTGTTTATTTACAAACTGACTCAATCATGGCACGAGCAGAAAACACCTCTTTGCCACTCAACAATCTATATTATAACAAGTCTGCAAGTGCTTTAAGTATGTGTTTGTAAGGTTTATTTGAAGATTCAATTCAATGCCTTTCTGTACAGCCCTAAGTCACAACAGCAGTCTAGTACTCTCGAAGTAATTTAAAAAGTTTTCGATCACCAACAACACATCAGAGAATCAAACAGATTTACCGCAATTGTTTTGAGTTAAAATATATTTGCACATTGATTTAAAAAAATTAAATTAAAAAATACATAATACACGGCCTCATAACTTCAGTTTTAAGATCATGCCAAAAAAAATGCTATTGTTGAATAATAAAAATGCACTAGAAATATACAAACGGTATAGAACAATACGTATTGGTTTGCAAAGAGTTGGATTTCATTTTTGAATACATACAAAGCTTTCGGCATGCATTAAAAAAACTAGAGATGCAGTTGAAAATACATGCATGTGAAAACTGGTGATTGAACCAAACAGTTTTGTGAGCGAGAGACTAGTTTCATGGATTCCATTACAGAGTTCATTTTTGTGGTCTGAACGTTAGGTACTCCAGGTTTTATGCCATTCCAGGTAAAACAGAAACATCTGGAGACATCGTGGTGCACTTTAAACCATCACACCCGTTTTCTGATTTGAATATCAGAGACTTTTAAGGGGCGTGTGGGTGGGTGTGGGTGGGCGTATGTCGTGTCAGTGCCTGTCACTCAGCCTCTGACAGACACGGCGGCTGTGGGAACACTGGACAGGGCCATCCGGGGTCTCCATGGCCCAACACGGGGGTCTTTTATGGGTTCATCAGCCCAGAATCCCCCCCTCTTGGAGCAGACTGGCACATGAATGGAGAGATCATGTCGGAGCAGGAGATGGACCCCTGACAAGAGCCCAGAGACAAAAGGGAGGGGCAGAATGAACTTGGGGTGAGCTGTGTTTGATGGGGAACATTCATATTAACTATACTTCACATCAATAAAAGTACTTTCTGGAATATTAGGCGTACCTGTTTATAAGCTGCACCACCTAAATAAAACAAGAGGAAATTGTCCACACACAGTATAACACTAGCAAACCCATGGAGGTGCCATTTGGCACTTCTACCTAAAAAGCCCACCACGGTGCCAAATGAAACTCAAGGATTTTAAGTAACAAACTAAATCACCTGTGAAACGGCCAACTTTGTAAGTAATAGGCCATTATCACAGGCTGAGCTGAAAGTTGCTCATCCATCTTTACTTTGTTTCGTCGGGAGTGGGAGGATCTGATTAGTGATAAGGTGTTAATCTAGTGTCATTGCTGGACTTTAGTTAAAAAATATTAATGAAAATTATAAGTGATTGAAAGAAAACAACTAGCAACGGTCTATTTCAATGTATACATTTACATTGTTTACAAAATATATATGCTACTTAAGTTTTTCTCAGTGTCTTTGGTGCATTTATCACTTTAATTCTTCACATTTTGCCGACAGTTAGTGCATTTTATCAGAAACATTTAGTTACAAAACTGCAAAACCTTGGGGATAAATGCCAATAAGTGCACTCACCTTCTCAAAATGAAAAGTTTATTCCTCAAAAGCAAGTCTTCATGTCGAGTAAACTGTCTGTCTAAATAATATGTCTTAACAAACATGGAGTATGAACAACACACACCATTGTGACACTTTACTCTCTGGTTTTCAAAGCAAAATATTGATCTTGGTGAGCATGGACAGCTGAAAACTACACTCACTACTGTTTTTGGTAGTAAAAGAATTTATACTGTATGTACTGTAGGTGTGTGTGTGTTTGTGTTATTTAAGCTGAAATTCTTTGCAATTCTTCAGCATTTCGAAAGTCAAAGGATAGAGACTTACTTTCATTATGGTAGGAGTTGTGGATATAAAACACACAAAAAAGATAAAGTAATGATATAAAAAGATATAGGAAATGAATTAGTTTGACAGATTTTGGTTTTGAACAGTTTTGTATGTGATGACCAAAGCAATGAAATGAGGACTACTGGTTTTACAGAAACTATTCAGTCGTGATAAGTATGTTTCATTCTGATTGACAGGACAGAAGCAAATGTTAATGTTATAAAACAGCAGAGAACTGTATGAAAGTAACTGATACATGTCCAAAAGCATTTGTAAAGTGTTCAAAGGAGAAACTGCCGCGATGATGTCACACACGACTCAATGTTGTGGAGGTTCTACCGTAATGATTTTTTGTATGTTTTTCTACGTAAATACTGTATGTGTACTATTTTTGTTGCAGAATGCTGTAGAATTGCAAAGAGCATAAGCAGTAAATATGTGAACATACAGTACATACATATGTATCACTAAATACAGTCACAATGAAAACATGACTAAATCATTTGACTGTTGTTCATAAACACTGATGTCAGGACTTATTCTTTTGAGACACAGACCGTTTCATTGACATGAAGACTTTCTTTTGAGGAATTAAGTTCATTTTGAGAAAGTGACTTATCCATGAGGTTTTGCAGTTTGCACTCATTGTTCTGAGAAATGCACTAACTGTTGTTAAAATGTGAAGAATTATGTGAAAAATGCACCAAAGACACTGAGAAAAACTGATTACAAAATATATACAGCGCATTCTCAGGGTACACAGCACATGTGTATATGTGGTCTCACAGACTACTGTAGTACTCTCTTGCAGCTCTCCCTCCCCCGCACGAATAAACAAAGCCCACCCCAGCCCCCTGCTGTTATAAGTCATTACCTACATTTGCAAATCAATACATGCAAATGTTAGCAGCCAACCTAGCAAGTTAGCTCCCTCTTCTCAAAACAGGGACCAATTTTGGTTGGGTTTTCTAGTGTTTTAAAGGGATTCTGATTTGAATATTGTCGTCACAAAACAATGGAACTATGACGTAAAGTCCTTGCTCTAAAACGGCTTCTATCACTATTTCTCACTTGCATCTCAGCTTTTTCAGAGAGAAAGGTAAAAGAGAGTGGACCCTCCTCTCTCAGCCAATCAGCTCTCAGCTCAAAGAGTCACAGAGCTCTTTCTTACAACCATGCAAAAGATATGATATGTTTTCTAAAGGTTTAGTTTTAGAACATAAAAGTAACCTTTAGAATTCCACAATAGAATCCAAGCATTATCCATAATGTATAGGAATGAATGTCAGTGGCACAACAAAATGAAGTCTCCATAAAATAACTTTCAGAATGGAATGAAAAACCAGAGTTTAGAGCAGATTGTGGAACATTCCTGACAATATCCGTTTCACAGGAAAAGCAAACGATGAACTAGGCACATCGAGAACAACCCCACCTCATTCCAGGCACACAATCTGCACTCAGTGAAACCCAGGCCTAGTGTTGTGCGTTTTTACTTGTGCTTGTGTTTCAGCGCTGCAGGTGAAGTGTGCTCCTATAAAAGCCCTTTGTGTGGAGTTGTGTCGTGGCCGGCGGAAAGTACAGTATTGGTAAACAGATCAGGTAGCAATGCAGCAGCAGCTGTAGGGCCCACAGATAGGGCAGAGATAGAGGAGGAGGCAAGAAAGTCAGTCCCAACGGAAAAAAGCATTTATAGTGAAAGGTAATCACATCACTTTGGGTTGTTGTACAGTAATGCTTGACATGAAACAGTTTTTGACAGGTTTCTGACGTGGCGGATCTGGATTATTTGCATTTTTTTTACTAGGCCCTTTCATTGTCAATCAATCAACTTGTATGTTTGCCTTTCCTACACAAGGCAACTCAATGCACCTCACAACCCACATCATATCAGGCATAAATCAGAAACATTTAAATCTACATAAATATTAAAAACATGATTTAAAACATGATTATAAACAAACATTAAGAACACAAGAAAACATAAAAATATAGAAAAATAATCATATATGTAATTAAAAACCTTAAGACATTAAAATCACACATAAATAGCCAAAGTACATTGAAAAGAGGAAAGATTTGGTACATAAGTGTAGATCAATGTTTAGTGCAGTTTCCCAAGGATTAAACGCTGTGGGGTCAAAGGCTATACTTGAGAAGAACATTAATTTTTCTATGATCACTCCTTTTTGGAGGAATGTGCATGTAAATATTAGTTATATCTTTGCAGAAATTGTAATATTTGTATGATTATTATGATTATGTTGATCTGTTTTGTGCAAAGCTGTTATCACCTGAAGCAATGCACGTTCCATTCATTCTTGATCACAGTAAAACATTAACATTTCTGAGAAAAATAAAGTAAAATAAAATATAATAATAAACAGCCCAAGCTAGCCATTATAAAGGTGTATGGGAGCATTCATAGTTAACATTTGAATTCTGTTGGAGGTAAGAGATGCCAATTCTCATACGTTATCGTCCATACACGATAAGTTTTACACAGTTCATGAGTCAAACTTTCACCTCTAAATCACTCTTACAAAGCAGATAACAGCCTCTGAGCTCCAGGTTATCTGTGAGGCTGGATTTAGGTTTCTTTAGTCCAGAAAAGCCAGCTTAAAATCATCCTCTCAAAACATGTGTTACCACGCAATCGCCCTTTTCCCCCAATCCGCCATCTTGTCTCTTTCACAGATCTCCATAAATCAGCGTCTTACATTGCCCTTTTATGTACGGCTTATTTCCGAAGTGACAAATTTGCTGGAGAACAACACCGGACGTCCCCATGGAGATGAGCATCAATCTCACTGAAAACATATGGAGCCCAAAACATTTATACTGCCGCCACCTCTAACCTCTATAACATGCTTTAGGGGCCTCCTCCTCCAAACGCAGACGTATTTATGGTCCGGACAGGGCTTGGTCCAAAGAAAACCAAGATTTTACACCCAACATTCCTCAAGTTCAAACCCTGGCAGCAAAAACAGAGGGATCTTAAAGGATGTCTCCCCTACGTTCACTTGTTTACGTTGGTAATTGACTTAATAAGGCATTAGTCTCCATTAGACGGACAACAGGGTAACAATATGATGCTAACAAAAGCATTCCATCGGCTTTCACACTCAGAGATGACTTATTCTATCGCCAAGATCTCTACAATCAAACACACTCCTATTCACTTCTTACAGTATATATGTGAATGAATATATAGCAATATGTAAGATTTTCATGTCAAGTCATCATTGAAAGGACCTAATCTATCAAAATGGATAATTAAACCTTGCTCTTTTGGAATAGTTCTTTATCTGAGAAAGTTTTACAGCCACTAAATCTTGTTATTGTTTTAATTTCAATGTCCCGCTTTCCACTATTTTACCAATCAAAGTCTGTGATCCAGGTTGCCAGAACTCACAGCATCAAGCTTATCTCACTGGTAAAGTAAAATGTGGCAGCTGTACTAAAAAAGGTCTCGTTATGATTCCCAAATCATTCACGACAAAACAAGGAATAAAACAAGGAGTTCTGTTGGGGACACCTTTGAGAAAAAAGTCTTGGTTATAGATTTGTTGTTGACAAAACTCTTGTCTATTCAAATTTCATGGTCCCAGCTGGATTCGTCTGCATATCTGGCAACCTGAGTCAGGGAGAGCGGGAGATGCTGCAGTACCACCTCCTTTAAAGAAGGTTTCAACAGTAGAGCCTTCATTGTACATCCAAGATAAGATACAACTTTAATGATACACAAAGTGGGGACATTTCAGTGTTGAATCGCACATTACAGTATTTCAGTGGGAATGAAGAGCACAGAATAGATGGCTGTGCAATGTTGAAATCCTCAAAAAAACACTACATAACATAATATTACTTATGATTCCTTGATGAACTTTCAATTTGGTTCCCAGTTTGGCCTGAAAAGGACAATGAATGAATTTTAAGAAACTGTTAAGACAAAAAAACTTCTAACATTTGTAGTCCAACTTCTAGACTCCAAAATCCAGGATATATTGAGTGACCTGTTGC